TTGTACTGCTACTGCTACTGTCACTGCTACTGCTACTGCTACTGCTACGACTACGACTATGACTACTACTACTACTACTACTACTACTGCTACTGCTACTGCTACTGCTACTGCTACTGCTACTGCCACGACTGCGACTACGATGACGCCGATCACTCCTCCTGTAGTACTCCTAGTACCACATGAAGCGTGCGATGAATTGACAAATTGAATTGCTGATACTAGCGGCCTGCTCGTTACAGCTCGACCAAATGCTGCGAATGTTGCCTCTAAGGGACTGGCAAGCACTGTATTCCTAGTACTCACAATACCACTCCCTAGTGCTGCTCACAGAACTCGAGCCTCGTGAGCCCGACGACCCCTGCGAGCATTACGCGGCCCTCATAGTCGCAACAGGTAGAACTAGAACTTACGATGAATAGCAGCATATCAGCAGCAGCAACGAATAGCAAGAACGAAGGCTACACAAACAGAAATCGACACGAGGCTGACCATGGGAAGCTGGACGTAGCTGGTCTTTGTCCTAAGTCCTAAGTCTTTGTAACCCGCCAACCATCAACGTCCGCATCCCTCATGCTGCAACGCGGTTGAAGCACACAACTACAATGTACTAGAAATTTGGCCGTCCCTCTCTGAATGACAGCCGCGATGCCATTCGGGCTCTGCTACCTGCGCTTGGAGCTGCTGGAGACGACTCGGGCTGAGGTTCAGGGCTGTTGCGGCTGGAGATGTGGGGGTTTCCGAAAACTAGGGTACCTTATTTTGGGGTCCTTATAATAAGGGTGCTACTATTTAGGGTACCATATTAGGGTCCCCTCTTTTCGGAAACTCTCATGTGACCCATGACAGACTGCTCCTAGGTTGTAAACTGGCGCTTGGTAAATGTAGGCTTTCAGCATTCATTGCAAGGGAGACTTGGCTGACACGTCTGACACAGCCCAAACCCAAGTATCCATGCATGACAAAGTCGAGTAGGATATATTTAACAATAACCAGAATAGCCGCGAGAACAAAAAGAGTGAGACTGAGACTGCCAGCAGCATGGCCATGGCATAACACTCACACAAAGGAACATCAGCAGCAATGAAACAGTGTCACGATAACGAAGCAACCGCATCGAAGATAGCTGCAAGAAGTGTCGATGGTACTAATGCTAGCAATGACTAGCCGGAAACAGTGCTCAGCATAGCCAAGGTAATGCCGTCAATGGCAGCGCTTCATAGAATGGGAGTTAGATCGGTAATGACATTTCTAATGGTAGAAAGAAAAGTAATGCATATTTGAACCAGATGATACTGTACCAGCAAAGGTGGAGTGCCACAACAACAAAGAACATGTGGGTGCTCAATGAATTAGCAGGAGGCACGAAACAAGACGGAAATCATCGTAGGTTTACAGTACACCACAACCATGCAATCAGCAATGAAATATTCGTGACATAAGCGAAACGTAGCGGGGCAGCATCAAGTACCGATGGATGAACTGACTGACCAAGACACAATCGACAGAACGAAACCTTGGCGGACATAACAGGGTCCTCTGCCCAAATTCACCGCCGTAAACATCGCAAGAATGAAAACAGGCATCCTAACACTACGATACTAGCTACCGTAGAGACTGCCGCGAGACCTGCTTGTTCTTCAGCGCATCCTGCTGCTTGGCCGCGAGCAGATCGCCTGAGGCCAGCTCGTTTAGGATTAGGCATTGGCTATTGACGGCTATTTGGGGGGCTAAGCACGTGCTGGTTTGGGATTTCGATGCTTCTTTTGAGGTTTAGGATGTTTGGGGCCTTGGGCTTTCAGCAACGAGTGCAAGACAACGAAACTTGATGCCATACGCAAGTCGCAGAAATGCCTTCCAACGAGTCGTCAACTAAACCGTGGCACTGATAACTCCTCAGTGGTCTCCAACCGCAAACCCTTTAAACCGCAGGCCCTCCAGCCCGAGACTCCAACAAATCCAACTTCCCAGATCGCATCCCCCACCTGCCCCAAAGAAAGAAAGCAACCATCGAAGCGAAGCCCCACGTCCTTTGGGTGGCCGGGCTGAAGGAGTAGCGGAGGCCTGCCTGCGTTAAGTCCATGCCTTGCATTGGAGAGGGCTTGGGGAGACTTGAGGCGCCGAGTGAGGTTTCGGGTTCGGATTTCAGGGCTTATAGGATGTAGGGCTTTAGGGCTCAGAGGCTTCGGTTGCTGCTAGGCTAGCAGCGAATGGCAGCGAGGCAGACCCGAGGGGTCACGCGGACGATGTCAGGTCCGATTCAAGATGCTTTTTCTCGGAGAGTCAGTCTCGCGGGGTGTGTGTACAAAGAAGTACAAAGTCTGGGACTCCTTCAGGTCACTGGGTTTGAGTTGGGGGTTTGGGGTTTGGGCTTTGGGGTGTTGGTTCGATGACTCAGGTTCTGGTATATTCTGTTCTGCGGCCTGGCATTTTCGGATGTAGAGCCAACTGGTTGGAATCGCACTACTGTTCCATCGGATGTGACACGAACAGCCTTGGTACAGTAGCCACTGCCCCCGAGGCAAGTCTTCCGTCAGGCATTGCAACTTCTTTCACACTCGCCACTCGGACTCACCAGGACACTAGGAGGACAGTTCATCGGCGACTCTTCTGCTCAATCATCATCCGTGCGACTGACGCAGGTTGCATCAAGCGCTGCGAATGCTGGGCCCGCAGCCCAGGAAGTTCGGCCGAATAGCGATGCGCTGGTTTGCAACAACCTTGGCAGGTGTGGGGGCCTCAGAGACCCTCTGGCTGAGAAACTTGCCGCTCACTCCGGCCACCCTCGCTGACAGTCCCTGGAAAGGAGAACTCCGCCGTCGCGACTGCCACACGTAGACTGCTTGACAAAGGCACCCTCTCCAAGGCTCTAAACCAACCCTGTAACGACTCATTTGCCACGAAAGTACAGGAGTTCGGGCAAACACAACCAGATCGGCCGAAGTCTATGCATGGCTAGGTATATGTGGCTGTTTGGCTCTTTCAAAGCTAATACTGTTGCTTTATAGTCCTGCGCAAGCCCAGATCCTGGAATGGGAAGAGACTCGTTCATTGCAACAGGCCAGCTTGGGAGTCCAAGGCTCTGGTCAAATCTTCTTCATTCAAAGACTCCATCTAGCGGCTAGGCCGCAAGCCAAAAAATGGTTGCAGGTTGGGTGTGGAGATGCAAACGCGTGCGATGGTGATCGCTTCCCTCGGCGGGTCCTGCAAGGTCTTGGTCTGGCTACAAGTATGTAGCGATTTCAGATTCATCGATGGCTTTCGCTGAGGTAATCGGCAGACTGGAATCTCCTGAGCCCCCCGGCCGGGAATGCCCAGCCCCACAGCTCAAGCTTCTCGTATTCGTGGGCGAAGAAGAGCCTCAAAAGGCTCCAAAGCCGCCGACTCGGCTATGCACGGGATCTGTATGTACCTACAGGCAGGTATGTATGCACATTTGTATATATATATATATGTA